CACACACACACACACACACACACACACACACACACACACACACACCAGAGACAATGAGGGAGAGACAATGAGGGGTTCAGTGTCTTGCCCAGAGACACTTAATTTTTTTTTTTTTTTTTCATTTAGTCTTTATTTATCCAGGTTAGTCTCATTGAGCCACGAGAACTCATTTTCAAGAGAGACCTGTTTAGGGAGCACATGGTGGGGGTTAAGGGCCTTGCTCATGGGCCCAGAGTGGGGCGAATGAGGGTGGGGGCAAGTGTGAGTGTTTCACCTACCCCACCCACAATTTTGATGTTGTCGGGGCCGGGGCGTGAACCGGCGATCATCGGTTCACAGGCCCACCTCTCTAACCTCTGCCCCACCACTCCCACTTTAACACGTGACTGCTGCTGGAATCGAACCTGAAGTGAAATTCTGCTAGATGAGTATTAAATTGGCTTAAGAACAACAAAGTCAATGCTTTGGAACAAAAAAAGGTTAAATCATGTCATCTGGACCAGTTTCTTTAAGTAAGAAAAGTTTCATCCCCCATCCAGAGGACTTCATCAGTCTGCAGCCTGCCAACCACATCTGTCCCATCAGTAGCCTTCACTGCTGTGTTTCAAGCCAACCTCCTGTTGTAATCTGTTGGACAGATGTGGTTGGCAGGCTGCAGGCTGACGAAATCCTCTGGATGGGGGACGAAACGTATCTCACTTAAAGAAACTGGTCCAGATGACCTGATTTAACCTTTTTGTTGTTATCCACCTGGATGACTGACCTTACAACCTTTTTCAATGTTTTGGAGTTCTCTTAAACCCAGCCAGTCGAAGCAGATGGCCGCTTGTCCTGAGCCTGGTTCTGCTGGAGGGTTCTTCCTGTTAAAAGGGAGTTTTTTATTTCCACTGTTGCCTTTATGCTTGCTCAGGATGGGAGAGTGTGGAGAAATGAAGACTCAACAAGTCTGCTGACTTCTTTAGATAGAGAACTTTATTAACTGGCTTTTTATGTATGTGAATGTTTCTGTTCAGTGCCCTGAGGTGACTTCTCTTGTGACTTGGTGTTATATAAATTAATTGAACTGAGTCCTGATCCCAGCCCTGTAGGAAACCGGTGGGCGGAGCTTATAGAGCACATGTAACAAGGCAGCATACAGACCTGACTCAGTTCCACCGGTTCTGTCAGAGGAACCGAGCAAAATTACAGTCAACTATTGTGAGAAGCTTTTAGAAGGAAAAGACCATAAACCTGTGACTTTAAAAAGAGTAAAAATTGTCTTAAATTTGGGAATCCTAACTGAAATGTTTAATGTTAAATGTGTGTGTATATATATATATATATATATATATATACACTACATTGCCATAAGTCTTTGCTCACTGATCCAAATGATCAGAATCAGGTGTTCTAATCACTTCCATGGCCACAGGTGTATACAATGAAGCATGTAGGCATGCAGACTGTTTTTACAAACACTTGTGAAAGAATGGGTCACTCTCGGGAGCTCAGTGAATTCCAGTGTGGAACTGATAGGATGCCACCTATGCAACAAATCCAGTCGTGAAATTTCCTCGCTCCTAAATATTCTACTGTCGGATGTATTATAAGAAAATGGAAGTGTTTGGGAACGACAGCAACTCAGCCACCAAGTAGTAGGCCACGTAACCTGACGGAGCGGGGTCAGCGGATGCTGAAGAGCATAGTGTGAAGAAGTCTCCAACTTTCTGCAGTCAGTCACTACAGACCTCCAAACTTCATGTGGCCTTCAGATTGGATCAAGAACAGTGCACAGAGAGCTTCATGGAATGGGTTTCCATGGTCAAGCAGCTGTGTCCAAGCCATACATCACCAAGTGCAATGCACAGCATCGGATGCAGTGGTGTAAAGCAAGCCGCCACTGGACTCTAGAGCAGTGGAGGAGCGTTCTCTGGAGTGATGAATCGGTATCACATCAGTATGTGACCTCACATTCTGGAAGAATGGTCAAAAATCCCCATAAACACACTCCTAAACCTTGTGGACAGTCTTCCCAGAAGATTGGAAGCTGTTCTAGCTGCAAAGGGTGGACCAACGTCATATTGAACCCTATGGATTAGGAACAGGATGTTACTTAAGCTCATATGTGAGGCAAGGCAGGTGAGTGAACACTTTTGGCAATGTGGTTTATATTACTACATACATTTTACCGTGTAATATACATGTGTGTGTGACGGAAAAAAAAAACGTAATTGGACCTCAGTTTAAAATACTTTTATTCAGACAATAAAAATTGGACGTGATAAAAGCACATTTCACTTTGTGCTGAAACATTTAGGTCACACCCTGTTTTTTTGGCTACAATAAAGAAGAAAGTTCAGGAGTTGAGACTGAACTTCTTCAGACCATCAGGTGAGAAGATTAAACCTCTGAGGAGTATGAACGGGCTCCCAGCACCTATAAACACCACGTTCCACAAGTCTCCACCTTCACAGCTCCGTGTTCATCACTGACCAGCTCAACAGAGTAAAGACAAATACTAAAGATCCACAAAGAAACTGGCACCAAGTCCAGTTTGAGTCAATTTACTCCAAAGATGCAGTTATTTATATACATATATATATATATATATATATATGTATACATTTCAAACCATTTTATTTGGACAAATATTTTACAATAATTTCTCCCTTTTGTCTTTTGTATTACAAGTTTTTAAATAACTGTTGTAATTAAATCATGTGACTTTAATTAAATGAAATTACAAATGTTTAAGATATAGAAAATCTATACCCACCATGCTGCTGGAAAAACAATAATAAAGTCATGAAGTTACCAACATAAATAAAACTGACTGATCACAGATTAAGATTTGAGCTGCTTCAGTTTTAGAGAATATGTTACATCTTGTGCCTGCAGAAAAAATAAAGTGCAAAACTGTCACATTTGCATGTTTTATGTTGAGAATAATCATGTAGAAGTAAAATTTACTCTGGTTTTTATCTTTGAAATGGTTAAAGCTGTGGTGAGACTGAAAGTTGAGAATAAACAATAAATATAAAACCCGAATCTGAAACAGGAAATCGTGTTGGTCAAGATAAAAATGGAACACGATTCGTAAAAATTCATAAACGCACATTTTGTTCACCGTGGATCCAAGTAATCACATCAAATGTTAAAACCAAGAAACTTCACTTAAAACGTTATTTTTTTTATTTTATTTTACGGGAGCAGCACATATAAAAAGCTATGGATAAAAGTAGCTGGAGGAGCTTTTTCAATAAATGGTGAATTGTCAACAGGTGTGTAAAAAGATGGAGGATAAGAAAAGCATTGTAGAGGCTGAACCTCTCAGAAGTAAAGATGGGCAGGGGTTCAGCAGTCTGAACAGTAAACACCTGTCGACAGACTGTTATACAGCAATCTGTAGCAATGACCCAAACAAGCAAAGACCTTGATTTGTGACCTTGACGTTGAAGCTGGGGTGCTGAAGCTTACACAACACTCCGTCTAGTGATGATGCACATCTGTATGAAGGTTCATTAAATTCTCTTGAGCGGATCAGAAGTTATGGTCCGCACCTGCAAAGACCTCCTTTTAACTTTGACCTCAACTGAATTTAAAGAAAGAGCAAATGTACAGACACATGGACACCAAGACATAACATGTCCACCTTTCCATGTGCGTATTAAGACTACGTGCAAAAATAACGGAACAATGTTCCTCCATGAAAAGATGGGAAGACTTTGAATATCCATCATTTATGTTCACGACATCTAAACCTTTGAAGGGTTTTCAAAGACAACATGGGACAGTCTGAATTAAAAACAAGTCTGGTTCTGTTCTAAAAGTCACCGCATAGGCACATCCAGAGCTGCTGCTTAAAGCTCTATCAGACAAAGATGTGAACACCGTCCTGAACTGCGGTGAAGTCCAGAACTGTCCTGAGGTCAGACAAATGAACGTTTAAAATTATTTTCAGAAAGCACAGACTGTGCTCAAGAAGAGAGGGACCATCCGACTTATCAGCAGTTAAAGCCTGCCTCTCTGATGGTATGCGGGTGCATTGCTGCCTCTGGACAGGCTCAGCGCACAAAAGACCAAAACAACTCTTCGGTTCCTTGACCCTTACAGACTGTTGGCAAAAGAAGCGATGCTTCATACGAGGAAACATGGATCTGGAACAACTTATAGAGATGTGATGCTGCCATAAAACTTTAAATCACTTTATTTTAGGATGTTACAGTTTATTATTTCCCACGTTTAATTTGTTCTCTGTGAAATGATGGCTTTATAAGATTTGCAAGTCACTGCATTCTGCTTTTATTGACATTTTACACAAAGTCCCAACTTCCTCTCAGTATCGGGGCTGCACAGAGTTGAATTAGCTTAAATATGATGTTTTCATCGAAATGAACAGTGTGACATCACATTATAGGCAGGGAGAACCTGTCTCTGTTTGTAGGTTACCCTCCTCCAGCAGGCTCTGTCAGAACAGAGTTCAGACTGTCAGAGTGAATTCATCAGGACAAAAATAAATAAAAACTACAAACATGAGCTTATTGTTGTGCAATATGTTCATGTTTTAGTTGAAATGTGCTCCTCTTCAATCAGACGGTTACGATCAATACAACGCTTTCACTGAATCATCCTAAATACATGGCAGTGACAGCTACGGGCCTTCTCTGACATGCTTGTTGGAGCCGGAACACATGAGCATTTTTCCATCTTTTAGAGAAACTGATAAAAAAAATGGCACAAAAATAAATCAGTTTTAAATAAACGTTGCAGAGAGCTCACTGCTTCCTGACTACAGAGACAAAACACCAGAAAATGTCTTCATCAAAACCACAAAAACGTGAAATGTTATTGGTTTTCACGAGCCGTGCCAGTTTGAGTTTTCAGGGCCACCGTACAACTTCAAAACTCAAACTGCGCCCGGTCTTTCTGAGCTCACAGCCGGTCCAGCCAGAGGAAAGCACCAAGTTTAATCCACTTCATCTCACCGGTTTGGTTATTTCAGCTTTCTGGTTGAGTTCAAGGGAACGGCAACAGCTAAATTAAAAGGCCTCGGGTCCAGATGAACGCTGCATGTATGAATTTACGCTGCTTCGTTTTAGCATGATTAGGTTAGAATCCACTTCCAAACAAGAACTCAAAACACAGAAACTAGCAGGGAGCAGCACACAAATACTTGGAGTAACTGACATCAGTCCAGTGACTCTACTTGACCTGGCTCATGTTCGGTGCCGACCGGCTCCAGTTTAACCTCTGACCTGCAGGTCTGGATCAGTTCTTGCAGGACTGTTTTCTACGCTCGTCATATTTGCTGTTTCCTTCTGACTCTCTGCAGCGCGGCGCTGCTGTGGAAAGTTGTGATTTTGAAGCATTTTCCTTTGAGTAGACCAGTAAGGTGAAGCAGCAAAAAAACAAACCAAAGTGCTTTAGGTCAAATCTGACAGACGGACGGAGTTCGTTGTTTTGTTCTGAGCAGGATCGAGACGACAGATTCCAGCTTTAAAGAAAGATTAAGGTCAGAGTTGTTTGGGAACCTGTCGACTGCGTGAAAACAGATTCAAACGGTCTTTACATTCTCAGGTCCTTCTACAGAAACAGAAAGTACAAATTCACAGTTAATCATCTTCACGATGAGCTGCTGGAGCCCATCAGCTGTGGGAACAGAATCTGAGTCCAGACCAGTGGGCCTGTACTGGCTGCCCAGCAGGTGGAAGTGTCACGGTCCACTTTACGACACTTCCTGTCTGTCCAGTGTGCAAAAGAAACTCTCAAAGAAACCAGGACTTCAAAGAGCTTGTGTTAGACAATCAGCTGATTTCACGAGAAGGACGTTCTTTAAGAGGTCCAATGTCAGCCATCTTTTATTTCCACCTGGTTCAGGTAGACAGAAGGTGGTCAGATGGACAGGTCGGTGTCTGTGTCCGTGGGGCTCGTCTTTGGACTCTCACTGGCTCTCCTCTCCTCAGGAATGGAGGTTGATTCTCCATTCAGACTGGGCAGCAAACCTGGAAGACAACGCAGAACTGTCTCAACGGATCAAGAACTTCAGAGCAAACTCAGGACAGAAGCACAACAGAGACTCTTCTTGTCAGCACGTAGCTGCAGAGGCCGGAGGACGGCAGGGGAAGCTGACCGTGCGCTGATGTCACACAAACGATTTGAAGTGCCAGTTTCACCAGAGGACGTCACGCTGCCTGCAGCTTAGTGGTCGACAGTTTTCTAATCTTTGACACGTTGACCTTCTGACATCACTTCCTCTTGTGTTTGTTATGATTCACAGCTCGTCCTCTCCTTCATACTCAAGATACTGAACAGATGTAAAGGAGTTGAAGTGTGACCCTCCATGACCCTTCATTAAAGAAACAGAACCCCACCACGGTCTCTGAATTTATTCCAGACTGACAGAAGTAAAGAAGTTATGGTTGTTTTTCTTTCAGCTGCTCCCACACAGGAAGTGGAGTCACATGAAAGGTTTGCCTTTGTTCAGTGTTAACATCGTACGTCCTTCATGACAACCTGCTCTCAAACCTGCGGCACTAACCACTGAGCCACCACAGCCGCACCACGACTTTAAAGGATAAATAATATAAAATATTAAGAATTTAAAGAATTATTAAAATCAACTAAAGACATTCAAACATTGTTTTCTGAGTCTTGGTTCAAAAAAATTATTTGAACAAACTAATAAAAACTGGACAAGAAGTACTTTAACTTAACGTTTTGTTGCTGCATCGTTTGACCCAATCAGCTGGTTTCTGTAACTCCCCAAGACTTCTGCACCTGTCCACAGGTGTCCTGATCCACCTGTCCACAGGTGTCCTGATCCACCTGTCCACAGATGTCCTGATCCAACTGTCCACAGGTGTCCAGGTCCACCTGTCCACAGATGTCCTGATCCACCTGTCCACAGGTGTCCTGATCTACCTGTCCACAGGTGTCCTGGTCCACCTGTCCACAGATGTCCTGATCTACCTGTCCAAAGATGTCCTGATCCACCTGTCCAAAGATGTCCTGATCCACCTGTCCAAAGATGTCCTGATCCACCTGTCCACAGATGTCCTGATCTACCTGTCCACAGATTTCCTGATCTACCTGTCCACAGGTGTCCTGATCTATCTGTCCACATATGTCCTGGTCCACCTGTCCAAAGATGTCCTGATCCACCTGTCCACAGATGTCCTGATCTACCTGTCCACAGATGTCCTGATCTACCTGTCCACAGATTTCCTGATCTACCTGTCCACAGATTTCCTGATCTACCTGTCCACAGGTGTCCTGATCCACCTGTCCACAGATTTCCTGATCTACCTGTCCACAGATGTCCTGATCGACCTGTCCACAGGTGTCCTGATCTACCTGTCCACAGATGTCCTGGTCCACCTGTCCACAGATGTCCTGATCCACCTGTCCACAGATTTCCTGATCTACCTGTCCACAGGTGTCCTGATCTACCTGTCCACATATGTCCTGGTCCGCTTGTTCACAGATGTCCTGATCTACCTGTCCACAGATGTCCTGATCTACCTGTCCACATATGTCCTGATCTACCTGTCCACAGGTGTCCTGATCTACCTGTCCACATATTTCCTGATCTACCTGTCCACAGGTGTCCTGATCTACCTGTCCACAGGT